TATTCTTGTTGTTGATTCAGGGCGTTCCTCGTTTTGTTTCGCGCCGCGTCGCGGGTGGGTGCTTTTTTTTTTTTTTTTTTTTTTTTTTTTTTTTTTTGTTTAAAAAAAAAAATGCTATTATTATTATTTTTTTTTAAAAAAAATCCTCGTTTTGTTGTCTGCCTTGCATCGGGGCTGCAATCTCTACGGGGCAGCCAAAACATTAAAATGCCTTATGTTTGAAAGAAAACCAAGTTGCTCTTGACCTCCTTGTATATATGTGCCCCGCGACTCTCTCTCGCCCTCCTCGCATAGCCTCGCCTCGATCCCCTCAGTCCGACTGGCCCCCCCCGGCCCCGCCGCCGCTTCTTTTCCGTTGTATCCCCCGTAATCTTCGTTGTTTTCCTCCCTGGCATTTCGCACATTCCACCCCCTTCCCATCTTGCGCGCGCCCCGTCTCCACATCTTTCCCGCCTGTCATCCTTGCGCGTGTCCTGCCACGACGCGTATATATATATAGATAGATCGGGCCCAGGCATTGATGAATACTTGCGCCACGCGTCGCAACGTGCGTCTGATCCGCTGGCTCGCCAAAGCGAGCGCGCGGCCTCTGGATTCTCTACTTGCCCACCATCCAGTTCATCGTCTAAACATCGCCACCGCCGTCGTCAGCACCATCATAATCACCGCCATCACCGCAATGATCACAATTTTTCTCTTTACCCTATCCCTCATTGCATCTGTCCCTGATCCTCCCAATCGCCCGTGAAGTATCCCCTCTCTTGCCTGCCGATCCCCACCCCCGCTTATCGCGCATGCCACATCTCCCCTGGGACGGCGGGAATCGCGAAAGCGCGCGAGATCATTTTGCTGTTTTGGGCAGCCTATGTTTTGTTGTTTGCGCTCCTAGCTTCCATTGTTTCTCACGGTTTGCGGCGACCTGGCCGAGGACATTTTTCATTTCGGAGTCGTTTATGTTATCGCTCGGGTGGATCAGCTCAAGGATCTCGTTGATCATCTTCATCTGTTTCTTCAATTTCTCTTGGTCGAAATATTCATCGCCAGATGAATTCTATAGCTCCCCACCGAACTTATCGACGCTAATCCCAGTCTTGACACCTCGCCCTGTCCTCTTCCTCCTCTTCCAGCATCCTCGCTCCTTCCTCTTTCCCACTTCTAAACATCATTTTTCCTCCTCCCCCCATTCCTTCCTCCTCCCTTCTCGTTCCAGACTTCGTTTCTCTTCCCTCCGTTCGTGGTCGTCGTCCTCTTCCTCCTCCTTCTCCCCCTCCTCTGTTCTCGTTCTCCTCTCCCCCCGCCTTCTCCTGCGCGCAAAAAAACATCAAAGAGTACGCGGTCAGACATGTTGTGAGCATAGTTCAGCTCGTCGGGGCCGTCGATGGACTCCGTTCGGATAATCGCAAGCTTCTCATGGCGCGCGGCCGCGCCCTCGCCCCCCTATGGGGGCAACGGAGCCGCGCGCTCTCTGAACGCGACTCTGCGAGGCGCGAGGCATGCGAGGCGCAGCAAGCACGGACATGAGGGCTAGAGGGCAGGCGAGGCGAAGAGGAGCATTTTGTTTATTAATTTTTTTTTTTTTTTTTTTTTTTAAAAAAAAAAAGAACCCTCGTTTTGTTGTCTGCCTTGCATCGGGGCTGCATCTCTACGGGGCAGCCAAAACATAAAATGCCTTATGTTTGAAAGAAAACCAAGTTGCTCTTGACCTCCTTGTATATATGTGCCCCGCGACTCTCTCTCGCCCTCCTCGCTAGCCTCGCCTCGATCCCCTCAGTCCGACTGGCCCCCCCCGACCCCCGCTCCGCTTCTTTTCCATTGTATCCCCCAGTATCTTCGTTGTTTTCTCCCTGGCATTTCGCAACATTCACCCCCTTCCCATCTTGCGCGCGCCCCGTCTCCACATCTTTCCCGCCTGTCATCCTTGCGCGTGTCCTGCCACGACGCGTATATATATATAGATAGATAGATCGGGCCCAGGCATTGATGAATACTTGCGCCACGCGTCGCAACGTGCGTCTGATCCGCTGGCTCGCCAAAGCGAGCGCGCGGCCTCTGGATTCTCTACTTGCCCACCATCCAGTTCATCGTCTAAACATCGCCACCGCCGTCGTCAGCACCGTCATAATCACCGCCATCACCGCAATGATCACAATTTTTCCCTTTACCCTATCCCTCATTGCATCTGTCCCTGATCCTCCCAATCGCCCGTGAAGTATCCCCTCTCTTGCCTGCCGATCCCCACCCCCGCTTATCGCGCATGCCACATCTCCCCTGGGACGGCGGGAATCGCGAAAGCGCGCGAGATCATTTTGCTGTTTTGGGCAGCCTATGTTTTGTTGTTTGCGCTCCTAGCTTCCATTGTTTCTCACGGTTTGCGGCGACCTGGCCGAGGACATTTTTCATTTCGGAGTCGTTGATGTTCTCGCTCGGGTGGATCAGCTCAAGGATCTCGTTGATCATCTTCATCTGTTGCTTCAATTTCTCTTGGTCGAAAGAGTCATCGCCAGATGATTCTATAGCTCCCCAGCCGCGAACTTCTCACGCTAATCCCAGTCTTGACACTCGCCTGTCCCTCTTCATCCTCTTCCCGCTCCTCGGCTCCTTCCTCTTCCCACTTCTAAACTCATTTTCTCCATCCCCCCATTCCTTCCCCTCCTTCTCGTTCCGACTCCTTTCTCTTCCCTCCGTTCGTGGTCGTCGTCCTCTTCCTCCTCCTTCTCCCCCTCCTCTGTTCTCGTTCTCCTCTCCCCCCGCCTTCTCCTGCGCGCAAAAAAACATCAAAGAGTACGCGGTCAGACATGTTGTGAGCATAGTTCAGCTCGTCGGGGCCGTCGATGGACTCCGTTCGGATAATCGCAAGCTTCTCATGGCGCGCGGCCGCGCCCTCGCCCCCCTATGGGGGCAACGGAGCCGCGCGCTCTCTGAACGCGACTCTGCGAGGCGCGAGGCATGCGAGGCGCAGCAAGCACGGACATGAGGGCTAGAGGGCAGGCGAGGCGAAGAGGAGCATTTTGTTTATTATTTTTTTTTTTTTTTTTTTTTTTTTTTTTTTTTTTTAAAAAAAAAAAAAGAACCCTCGTTTTGTTGTCTGCCTTGCATCGGGGCTGCAATCTCTACGGGGCAGCCAAAACATTAAAATGCCTTATGTTTGAAAGAAAACCAAGTTGCTCTTGACCTCCTTGTATATATGTGCCCCGCGACTCTCTCTCGCCCTCCTCGCATAGCCTCGCCTCGATCCCCTCAGTCCGACTGGCCCCCCCCGACCCCGCCTCCGCTTCTTTTCCATTGTATCCCCCAGTATCTTCGTTGTTTTCTCCCTGGCATTTCGCAACATTCACCCCCTTCCCATCTTGCGCGCGCCCCGTCTCCACATCTTTCCCGCCTGTCATCCTTGCGCGTGTCCTGCCACGACGCGTATATATATATAGATAGATCGGGCCCAGGCATTGATGAATACTTGCGCCACGCGTCGCAACGTGCGTCTGATCCGCTGGCTCGCCAAAGCGAGCGCGCGGCCTCTGGATTCTCTACTTGCCCACCATCCAGTTCATCGTCTAAACATCGCCACCGCCGTCGTCAGCACCATCATAATCACCGCCATCACCGCAATGATCACAATTTTTCTCTTTACCCTATCCCTCATTGCATCTGTCCCTGATCCTCCCAATCGCCCGTGAAGTATCCCCTCTCTTGCCTGCCGATCCCCACCCCCGCTTATCGCGCATGCCACATCTCCCCTGGGACGGCGGGAATCGCGAAAGCGCGCGAGATCATTTTGCTGTTTTGGGCAGCCTATGTTTTGTTGTTTGCGCTCCTAGCTTCCATTGTTTCTCACGGTTTGCGGCGACCTGGCCGAGGACATTTTTCATTTCGGAGTCGTTGATGTTCTCGCTCGGGTGGATCAGCTCAAGGATCTCGTTGATCATCTTCATCTGTTGCTTCAATTTCTCTCGGTCGAAAGAGTCATCGCCAGATGATTCTATAGCTCCCCAGCCGCGAACTTCTCACGCTAATCCCAGTCTTGACACTCGCCTGTCCCTCTTCATCCTCTTCCCGCTCCTCGGCTCCTTCCTCTTCCCACTTCTAAACTCATTTTCTCCATCCCCCCATTCCTTCCCCTCCTTCTCGTTCCGACTCCTTTCTCTTCCCTCCGTTCGTGGTCGTCGTCCTCTTCCTCCTCCTTCTCCCCCTCCTCTGTTCTCGTTCTCCTCTCCCCCCGCCTTCTCCTGCGCGCAAAAAAAACATCAAAGAGTACGCGGTCCGACATGTTGTGAGCATAGTTCAGCTCGTCGGGGCCGTCGATGGACTCCGTTCGGATAATCACAAGCTTTTCATGGCGCGCGGCCGCGCCCTCGCCCCCCTATGGGGGCAACGGAGCCGCGCGCTCTCTGAACGCGACTCTGCGAGGCGCGAGGCATGCGAGGCGCAGCAAGCACGGAAATGAGGGCTAGAGGGCAGGCGAGGCGAAGAGGAGCATTTGAGACGTATATGTATATATATATATATGTATACATATATAAATGTATATATATATATGTATGTATGTATATATATATATACATTTATATATATGTGTATATATGTATGTATGTATATATATATTGTTTGCGCGTGATCGCGGGGCAGGCAGAAGGCGAAACAATCTTCCAGCACAGCATAAACAAAACTATCATCCAACACAAAAACAACGACTGCGATCGCAACGTGAGATCGCGATCAACTTTTGCGATCGCGATCTGATTTTGCGATCGCTGCATCCTCTGGGGAGGAGGAGCAGGAGGAGGAGCAAGAGCATGAGCAGGAGGAGAAAGAGGAGGAGAGAGGAGGAGGAGGAGGAGGAGGAGGAGGAGGAGGAGGAGGAAAAGGAAGAGGAAGGGGGGGGCGGCGACCCAGGAGGTCGACGAGGACGGGGAGGAGGACACGGATAACCTGCTGGCCGCGCCACGGGCGAGGACCCCCGCTGCCGCCAAGCTCGTGCGGAGAGCTCTAGGCAAGCCCAGCCGATGGAGGGCATTCGCGCGGAGGAGGCAATGGGCAGCCCGGGTGCCGGCGCGCGCAGCGGCGGCCGCGGCCCAGACGGTCCTGCGGGGGCCGCCCTCTCTCATCGGCGGGCGCACGCAGCAGCGGCGGGGAGGGCGAGCCAGAGGGGGCAGAGGGAGGCAGGGGGGGCAGTGGGCCTCAATCCTCGATTTTCCCTCCATGCCCACACCCGCTATTCCTCCTCACGTCTTCCTCCTCCTCTTCCTCCTCCTCCTCCTCTTCCTCCTCCTCCTCCTCCTCTTCCTTCTTTCGTTCTCTTCATCCGAGGTGGAAGAGGCGGAGGAGAGGAGGGGGGAGGAGGGAACAAAAGGGAGGTACCGGAAAATATTAGGAGGAGGAGGAGGAGGAGGAGGAGGAGGAGGAGGAGGAGGAGGAGGAGGAGGAGGACCAGGAGGAGGAGGAGGAGGACGATGTTGGAGTACACCATCCCTCAAAGATCCCCCATTCATAGGCCTAGAGGGGCTCACTTCCACTGAGGGTAATGCCCCGTTGTGGGACAACCGTGTGTGAAAATGTTGAAGCGTGCCTAAACACCAGTGTTAGTTTAACACTACGAGTCAACCATATGATTGCGTCTTGATGATCCTGAATCGTGCCAGAACACCAGACCTAGGGGTTTCAACACCGCGAATGAACAACACTGTTGCGCCCTGAAAGTCATGAACCGCTCCGAAACATTATCTCTGCTTCGCTAACCACGAGAATCAATAAAACTCTTGCACGCGTTTGAGAAGAGTGTGCGGCGCTACGGCGAGAGCCACATTTTGAAAAAGAGCGGCCCATACTCCGTGACATTATTGCAGTTTGCTTGACACAATGTACGCGGTGCTATGGCGAGAGCCACATTTTTGAAACGAGCCGTCGTAAACTTTCAATTTGTTGCTACGGCGTAAGCCGCATTCAATGCGCCCACAATCCGTGAAGGTCTTGTTAATTTGTTTTCACGAATGTGCACGGCGCTATGGCGAGAGCACCATTTGGAAAGCTACCCGTCTTCAGTCCGTGAAAGTTTTGCACATGTTTGAGTCGAATGTGCGCGGCGCTGAGGCGAGAGCCACACTATGAAACAGAGCTTCCCTCAATCAGTGAAGCTCTTGCTTCGTTATCACCACCCTCCATCTGTGAAGCTGTTGACAGTTTTCAAGTTTCAAGCTCATAGATGGTAGGGAGGTCTCAGGCGAAACGCCCCGCCCACCCATCTGATTGGCCTCGGGGTGGGACAGCGAGAAGTTGTTCATGAGGGAAAGAAAGGAGTGGAGGGAAGGAGGTTCCGGAGGTTGACGGCGACGAGGGAGGAGGATTCTGCTGCTGAACCTCTGAGAGGCCCGGCTGTCGCAGCTGGTGGTTACAGTTTTTTTTGGTGTGTGTGTGTGTGCATTTGTAGATCCGCCAACATCCGTTCAGCACATGTCCCAGTACCTTTCCGGGAACGAGGAGGAGGAGGAGGGCGACAAGGGTCAGGTGGAGGAGGATGCGCAGCAGTAGGGTAAGAAGCAGCTCTGTCCGAGAAGGCCCGCGTTTGGATCGCCCAGCGCAGGTTTTCCGTGGGAGTTTGCGTTGTGCACTCTACCCTTCCTTGTCCCCCCTTACCCATCGGTCGTTGAAAGTAGGTATTTTTGGAGTCCCAGATTCCAATCTACTTGAAGCACCTTCCTACTTCAATGATCGTGTGGCTTCACCTTTTCCGTCCTCTTTACGGGGCGGGCGGATACCCAGTTTTCTTTCAACGCCTTCCTACTTCATGTTCCTACCTTCGGGCGAAGAGAACTATGCACATGCACCGATCCTGGCAAGGCCCATTTTTGACCCAGGATCGGTGCATATGCCTTCCTGGCCAAGGTAGGAGGGCGTATGCACCGATCCTGGGCTCAGGGTGGGCCTGGCCAGAATCGGTGCATGTGCATAGTTCTTTTCCCTCTATACCTGCTCCTTCCGACCGATGGGCCCCCTCTCCCCTTCCCGCCCTCCGCCTCTGCCCCCGGCCGCGGCCGCGTGCCTCCCGAGTGCGAGTGCACGACCTTGTGGACTCTTTCGTGTCCCTGGCGTCGCCCGGATGTTTTGGAGGCCGGCCGCCCTTCGGTCGGGGGTGGACAGAACCCCCAACAGTGACACGTCGATTAGTGAATTGTCCGTTTTCGGTTCTCGAGAGGGCGCCGTGGCCGTTATTTTCCAGGCTTGCGCCCGCCAGGTTTGGGTCTCAGATCGTTTTCACTAAACCACGTTTTACTAAAGGGGGGTCTGTCCATCCCCGATTCGGGGGCCGCCCTGGGCGGGCTTTGGTGGTCGTGCTTGGAGTCTTAAGCCGGGCGTGTCCCTCTACAGGGGGAATGTTCCAAAGTAGTCGAACCAAAAATGGGGACGATTGTTCTATTTGTTCATTATTTGTGGGTATTTGTTTGACAATCTTTCATTTCTCATCCAAAACACACCCGACCTACATGTAGTCGCAGTTCGAGACGATCTCGCCAGGTTGGACTCCGGGAGCGGTCCAGGGATCCGTTCTCAGGGGAGCATTTTTTTTGTAAATGAAGCGCCCTTCGCTGTCTGGAACCCTTGCCAACAGAGCAGCCCTCCTGTGAGCTCTTCTGGAACCAGCGACTTCCCCGACGTGCGGTTCGCACTAAATCGGGCCTGTTCCTCTACAGGAGTATTCAGAGATCGTCAAACACTAATGTGGAGACGACTTGTTTTACTATGCTTTGTTTTTTGTGTGTTTTTCATTTCAGGAAAATCGTCCAAAACCCGCTTGTAGGAGGACACGCCCGTCCTAAGGTTGGCACTCGAGTCCGCGCACGTGTCACATTCCTGAGGCTACTGCCTCCACGCCATGCCGTAAGGGGCACGGGCGGGCGCCCGAGCCGAGCGTGCGCGCGCGACCCCGGCGGTCGTTTTGCTTCGCGTTGCTTCGCACTGCTTCCTGGCCAGGAGTGCAGATCTTCGAGGTATGGATGTAAGCCTGATTCGAGACGAGGTATCCTTGCGGCCTGATTTCGCTTGCTCTTGTAACAAGTGCATCGTGCAACGCGCCCCCTTGAAAGTGATAGGCACCTTTGAAAGTAATAGGCGCCATACACTTGTAAAATCAATCGTAAAAAAACACACACTGGAAATCTGACAAACGGTTTCACTATGCGCAGAAAATCCAGAGCACTCGAAGGTTCCGCCACCTTCACTACAGACTCGGTCGTCATCCATGGTTGCAGCGCCCTCCTCTTTTTCCTCAGAGGGGGCCGGTCCCTTTCCAAGGTTAAGTCGAGCCTGTCCCTTTACAGGAGGAATGTCCAAAAATAGTCAAAAATAGTAGCGATTTTTCAACTATTTTGATTATCATTGATGATTTTTGTAATTATTTTGAACTTTCCCTAAAAATCCGTCTCTAGGAGGACATGCCCGACCTGAGCCTGGGAGCTTCTGAGAGGGGGCCGGTCCCTTTCTAAGGCCTCCCCCCGCCTCCCTCCCTGCCTTTTCAGCAAGCCTCCCGTCTCGCCCCACACCGTTTTGTTGCGCGACGCCAGATCCGTGCGAAGCCGATCCTTGGGCCCCTCCCAGGGTCCATCCTGGGCAGTTCTCCAAGCCGTGTCCAGCCGAGGTGGCGAGAAACTCCAGCAGCATCCCACAACCACGGCTGGCGCGAGGGACAAGAGAAGCTCTGACCCGGGAGGGGTACCCCTATGTGTCTCGTGCCTGGGCCCTCCACCTCAGACCGCTTTTGGATCTGGGGCACCTCGGGTGGGGCTCGGGGCCTCTGGCGAAGGGGCTGGCTCTCTGGAGCCGCGTCTCTGCGGGCCATGCTTCGGCCGTCAGCCCTGCGCGGCGCCGAGGTCTCCAGGGCTGCCAGCAGCGGCGCAGGACGTGCCCGGGCGCCCTGCTGCCCTTCCGGGTGCCCCCCGGCGGCGCGCCCCGGGCGCCGCCGCCGTGGCAGCACCAGGTGCCCAGGCCCCCGCCGCCGCCCTTCCCGCCACTGCCCTGCCGCTCGCCCCTGGCAGCGCAGAGGTCCGCGGCGCGGGCTCGTCCACCACCGACCCCCTGGGGGATCGATCCTCAGGTCGGGCGAAGAGAACTATGCACATGCACCGATCCTGGCAAGGCCCATTTTTGACCCAGGATCGGTGCATATGCCTTCCTGGACAAGGTAGGAGGGCGTATGCACCGATCCTGGGCTCAGGATGGGCCTGGCCAGAATCGGTGCATGTGCATAGTTCTTTTCCCTCTATCAGGGCCCTGGGCAGGCGGTGGATCGGGGCACATACAGTCAGCCCGCACAGCAGGAGGAAGAGCAGCACAAGCACACGAAGATGGCGATGCTTCGTGTTGCTTTGACTCTTCGTGCTTGTGGTTGGGCTAGTCCCTGTTTCCCTTCTGCGTCTACGGTTAAGTCGGGCATGCCCCTCTACATCTACTGTTAAGTCGGTCAAAACTAGTAAAGTGTTCTGGGTACGATTTCTCTTTACGTTTGATCATGTTTGAGCATTTGTACGTTATCTCTTATCTTTCGTCAGGTGACGATGTTTCGTTTCGTTTTAATTGTTGTTGATTATGGTTGGACTATTCCCTATGTCCCATCAACGTCCATCGTCAAGTCGGGCATGCCCCTCTACAGCAGCAAGAACAGCACAACCATAACAAGATGACGATGTTTAGTGTTTTCATTGTTGCTGTTTATGAGTGGACTAGGTTGTTGTCTTGCCTGAACTCCCTATTTCTCTCCTACGTTTATCGTTAAGCCAGGCATGTCCCTCTACAGGGGGAAAGAACAGCATGAACATATTATGATGACGATGTTTCGTTTTTATTGCTGTTGGCCATGGTCGGACTTTTTTGTTTTTCTTGGAAGGCTTCCCCGTAGGAGGACATGGCCGACCTGAGTCTATCGCCCGCTGGGATCGCAGGACTCGGCGGAGAGGGCCTCCTCAGAAGGCGGCGGGGCTTCTGAGAAGGGCCCTGGCCTCTCGAGGAGCTTCCTGCGCCTTCAGGAAGGCTTACAGTACAGTGGAGAGACCCACGGCAAGAAACGCCCTGCTTGCCTCCAGGTTGCCCTGGGTGTCTTGGGTCTCGATTGTTCTGCGATGGGAAGCGCGACGTGCCCACACCAAACATCCATGGACGTCCCGGGGACTCAGTGTTGGGTTTCTTGTGGGTGGTTTCTTGTTGTCGGGCCCCTGCTGCAGAAAGCTTCTCAGTAGGGCGACGATATCTATACGTATCCACTGCTCCTGGCCAGGCCCATCCTGGGCCCAGGAGCGGTGTATATGCCTCCCTGGCCAAGCCAGGAGGGCGTATACACAGCTCTTGGGCCCAGGATTGGCCTGGCCAGGAGCAGTGGATATGTATAGATATCGCCGCCCTACTCAGGGGACCCCTGGGGACTTCCGAGCCCTCTGCGCAGGCCCGCCCCCTCTCTCTCATTCCCCCCCCCCCCCCCGGGGGCGCGCCGCCGAGCCAGCAGGACGTCGGCTCCCCGGGCGGTGCTCACAGCCCCAAGTCCACAGGGAGGACGCGCCACCTCGTCCGAAAGCTGCCCTTTTTGCGCCGGGAGAGCGAGCAGGGGCGTGAACAGAAAGACCCCTACAGACCACAGCCTCGGAGAAGCCTCAGGACCCTTCTCCAGGGGAGCGAGAGATGGCATGAGCACAAGTCTAGGGCGACGAGATCTATGCATATCCACTGCTCCTGGCCGGGCCCATCCTGGGCCCAGGGGCTGTATATATGCCTCCCTGGCCAGGCCAGGAGGGCGTATACACCGCTCCTGGGCCCAGGATTGGCCTGGCCAGGAGCAGTTGATATGCATAGATCTCGTCGCCCGAAAGTCCTCGGAGGTCCGCGCGGATTTCTCGGATCGGCGCTGGCTCCCCCCCGTGGCGGCGCCTCCGGCGCCGCCCCCCTGGCGCGGCGGAGCGCGGCGGAGCGCGCCGGGGAGGAGGGGTCCAGCGCCGAGCCAGGGAATCCGAGCGGACCTCCGAGTTTTTATGTTTGTGTCATTATTCGTTCCCCCATGCATCCCTGCTTTCGGGAGCGGAAAAGAGGGGAGTGATGACTAGGGGGGGGGATTTCATGGCGCGGGCCATGATTTTTCTTCCGATTTCATGGCGCCTCTTCTTATTTCATTACGTCCCAGGCCCCCCCGCTGGGCCGCGCACATGCCGCCGGTCATGATTTGCACCCCCCCCTCTTGGACACCCCCCTCTTGGCCGCTCCCCCCTCTTGGACACCCCCCTCGGGCCGGGCGAAAGGGGGGGATTGGGAAAGGGGGGGTTACGAAATCTGCTGCATGCAGCTGGTTTCGGCCTCGCCGAGGGGCCCATTCCTCGATACATGGGCGCCTCCCGGCGCCGGGAGGCGCCGGGAGAATCAGCTACGCGAGCTGATTCTCACCCCCCCCTTTGCTATCCCCCCCTTTCGCCCGACCCGATTTTATGTTTGTGTCATTGTTCGTTCCCCCATGCATCCCTGCTTCTTCGGCCCATCCTGAGCCAATGCTGACGTTCGTGGAGCTTCAGCTGGCAAGTGGGGCGTCCAAGGGTCCTGATACTGCAGGTACTGACTGCTCGAGGAGCGGATCGCCTGCAGAATTGATTTACCCCAAGCTTGGCTTGTCCGTGGAAATTGCGAACCACGCGTATAATATTTCGTAGATCTACGGAGCATTCTACGCATGTGTTCCAGACTCGGCGGACAAATCAGTTTGGGGGCAAATCCATTATGTAGTCGATCCCCTATTCCTTGACATGTTTCGGACGTGTGCACGTTTCCTCTGCGGGACCGCCGAGGAGCATCCTGGATGAGCAGCCAAAAAAATGCGCTCGCGAAGCCGACAAATGCACGGGGACTTTACATCCGAGCGATGGCAAGCGTCGAGCCAGATGTCGGCGGCGAGCGAGGAGGGGAAGTGAGAAGGGGCGGGCCTTCTCAGAAGTCTCGGTAGTCCCCCGCCCTCCTGAGAAGTTTCCTGAACCTTCCCCGATGACACGGAAAACCTCTCAGAAGGGCAGAGGATTATTCTGAGAAGTGCCGACGCCTTCTGAGAAGACCTTCTTCTTCTCAGTTCCCCCCCCCTGGGGATATCAGAAGGTACCAACATTGCCACTCTCCGGACCTCTCCTTGGGTGCGTTCTGACTAGAATTTCGAGGCGAGTCCCGCGGTGGCGACGAGGGCCTCCCAGGAGGCCCCAAGAGGCGAAAACGGGGGAAGGGTAGCGGTATCGGCAGGCCAAGAGGTTGACACCAGCACCAAGATCGGCGGCGTTCCTCCACCGAGGGAAGAAAATCCCGATCTCGGTGATGGTGGTAATATTCTGGCTTCCAAGGTGACCGAACTATTGCCACCAACACCGAAATCTAGGATCGTCCCCACCCTGTGGAGGCAACCCCCTGTGTTGGTGTTGGTGCCCATTTCCAGGCCTCCAATTTCCCCCCCTCGCCCGCCGCCGATTCGAGCCACATTGGGTACACCCCCGCCGCGCCGCGAGGGCGGGCGCCTGCCGCCACGGCGGCGCCCCGCCCGCGCCAGCGCCGGCCGCCCCCGCCCCAGCGCAAGCGCAGGCGCGAGCGCGGGCGCGAGCGCGGGCGCGAGCGCAGCGCCCCGCGGGGGAGGCGCGGGCGCCGCCCGCCCTGCCACGGAAGGCCCGTTGTCGTCGTCGTCCTCGTCCTCGTCGTCGTCGTCGCCGTCGTCGTCGTCGTCCTCGTCGTCCTCGGCGTCCTCGGCGTCGTTGCCCTCGTCGTCCTCGTCCCAGCCGTCGTCCTTGTCGTCGTCGTCGTCGTCGTCGTCGTCGTCTTCGTCGTCGGCCTCGTCCTCGTCCTCGTCGTCGTCGTCGTCGTCGTCGTCGTCGTCGTCGGCGTCTGTCGCGGAAGGCCCCGCCGCCGGTGGCCGCTGCCGCCGCCGCCCTCAACCGCCTGTTCGCCAAGCTCGGGTGCTGCCAGAGGTGCCTCTGGGCCAAGATGTCTCCCTAGAGACCGGGCTTGTTGCGATATATTCACACAGGCTAGTTGTGCCTTGCTTCGAGCCCCTGGCTTATCACAGATCGATCCAGTTCGAGAATTGCAGCAGGAAGATTGGGTCTAGGGCTCTGGTCCTTGGAGCCCTCGCGGGCCGTTTTGCTGGGCTTTGGGGGACATCTTGGGCCGTCTGGAGGATGTTTGGGGCTGTCTGAGGGCCATCTTGGACCGTCTTGGAGACATCTTGGGCTCTCTTCGGGCCATCTTTCATCCAATGTTTGTTTGCAACCTCGGGTACCAGGGGAGGGTGCCTCAAGGACGCCCCCAGGGAGGGCCAGGTGACCTCATCAAAGCGCTACCTCCACGAGGTCTTCAGAGAGGGCTGGAGAGGGCTCCAGGGTGGCGCTTTCGATACGCCAGGGGCCCCTTAGGCCAGGACCTTAGTGGACCCTGGAGGCAACAAGGCACTGTTTTGCCGTTTTCGCTATTCTGTGTTCACCGTTTCGAGGTAGATGGGGTCGGAGGAATCCTCCGCATCACCGATGCATCGGCGATGCGGCTCGATGTGGAGCCCGATTTCCTCCACGCCCACGGCGCCGATGCATCACCGATGCTCGGCGATGCGGCGCGATCATCCGACCCCATCTGCTCGGACCCCACCCAGGAGGTCTCTAACTTTCTTGCTTCACAATTTCCTGCGCAGTGTTTTACATGTCTGGCGCTGTTGTTGTACCAATTTCGTTTTCTTCGGTGGGTGCGTGGTCCAGATAATATTTGTTTAACGGTACCCGAAGCGTTTTCGAATGGGTTCCGAGCGTTTCGGCCATCCGATCCCCAGATCGAGCAGGCCATCTGGGTGAACCGTTTTACAGTTTCGGTGAATTGTGTTCCGCCGCTTTTATAGTAAAAGAGCATTTCTCCAAAACGGTGATAAGACGACCCTGCCGTTTCCAGGGCCCACAAGTTACACCGCACTCACATCTATACCACTGGGTGGGTGTATG